AAAAAAAAAAAAAAAAATCCTCCTTTCTGAGAGGCACGATGGTTCATACTTATAATCCTAGCACTTTGGGAGGCCAGGGTGGGAAGATTGCTTGAGACCAGAAGTTCAAGACCAGCCTGGGCAACATAGTGAGATCCTACCTCTACTTAAAATTTAAAAAACAAAAAAATTAGCCGGGCATGGTGGCATGTGTCTATAGTCTCAGCAATTTGGGAGGCTGAGTTGGAAGCATTGCTTGAGCCCAGGAGTTAAAGGCTGTAGTGAGCAATGATTGTGCCACTGCATACCAGCCTGGGTGACAGAGACCCTGTCTCCACACAAAAATATTAATAAAAAAAATTAGCTGGGTATAGTGGTATACACCTGCAGTCCTACCTACCCCAGAGGCTGAGGTAGGAGAGTTCGAGGTTATGATGAGCTATGATTTCGCCACTGTACTCCAGCCTGGGCGACAGAGTGTGACCCTGTCACTTAAAACAAAAACCTTCCTTTCCTTTCTTAAATTATCAAAGTAAGTTGGCCAAAATATTTGCAATTAAGGATAAAGTTAATAAATGCTAGAAAAATAATTTCTGGAAGAAATCTACTAAATATATGTAGAAGGTGAAAAGCAAGTTTGTACTTAATACCTATCACTGAGGGGAAAAAATAACCTCAGTATCAAAGAGAAAATTTCTTATAACTACCAGAGCAAGCCAAATTCCTGTCTTAAGAGTCAAATTACCCTTTCTAGAGGTCATTAGAACTGCCGAAGAGACATTTTTTCCTTAGGCAGCAAAAATATTGTGGTGTAAAATGATCTATCAAGAAGGAAAAAAGCTAACATAATGTGATAATAAATAATTCAGTAAAAAGCTTGACATCATAAGCAAGGCATAAAGTTATCTCTAACGCCCTCAATACATTCCTCATAAAAATTACTCCTAAAGGAAGTAAATAATTCATATTGTTAATCTCATATCTAAATGCCCAAGGCTAAAATGCACCTGAGAGCCACACATATGCCCTGTCAATGTGATAAGCAAACACATTTTGCAAATAACAGATGCTCTTGCTGCTCTTATCTGAAATCCCACTTTACAAAGATGTGTACAAATTCAGTTAATGTTACCTGCTGTATGTTTTATCATAACTACCACTCTACATATAACTGATGAAAGCATATTTTTCTTTTTTTCCCTTATTTTCCACTTTTATGTTTGAGAATATAAAGTAATTATAAAGTGAACATGTATTTAATATATCAATATATATTTAGATGTATTTTTCAAAGTATGGTTAGTTGCTACTTGAAAAAAGGATTTCATGAAACAACTGCTAGGCTGGGTGCAGCAGCTTATGCCTGTAATCCCAGTACTTTTAAGAGGCTTGAGGCAGGATTGCTTGAAGCCAGGAGTTTGAGACCTGCCTGAGCAATGTAGAGAGACCCAGTAACTCCAAAAAAAAAAAAGAAAATTTAGCCAGGCATGGTGCTACATGGCTGTAGTCCTAGCTACTCAGGAGGATGAGGCAGGAGGATCGCCTGAATCCAGAAGTTCATGGCTGTAGTGCGTTATGATTGTGCCACTCCAGCCTGGGCAACAGAGCAAGACTCTGTCTCTAAAAACATTAATTAAAAAAAGAATAAAA